CCAAAACTTCTAAACTTTCTTTTTAACCAAATTCAAAACTCCAATTCAAGTCCTTTGGACCGATAATGGTCGTGAGTTCTTTAACTTTATTTTAGGAGAATTATTTATAAGTAAAAGCATCATCTACTATAGCTTGTCTGCGTATACTCAACAAAATGAGATAGCGCACGAAAAAATTTGACGTCTCCTTAATGTTAGTCGCACCATTATGTTTCAATCTAATGTCCAAAAACTATTTTGGAATGATGATATACTAACTGACATCTATCTCATCAATAGAGTTCCCTCCCTCTAAAATTCATAACTTCCGAATTTCTTTAGCCATCATGACGTACTTTCCTACCAATTGGGTTTTCACAACAGTAGATCCCAAAATATTTGGGTGCACGACCTTTGTTAGAACATTGCCTCCACTCGTATTAAACTTGATCTTAGATCCATAAAAATTGTCTTCTTAAGATACTTTACCACTCAAAAAAGGTATTAGTTCCTGGATTCTATCACAGTTAGAATCTATGGGAGTGTGGATGTCTCATTTTTTTAAAGTGTACCCTATTTTTCCAACTTTGCCTCTTGTGAGAGGGCGCTAGAGTTCTTGAACACACTCCCTTATCCTACTCCTATGGATGTTCCCCCATTATTCCTGCCACCGAGAAATCCCGGCTCTTGTAGTTCTACCTTCTCCTTCTTCCACTCTTCTTGTCTACACTCGATGCACTTGTCTTGATGCACCTACTCTGGAGTGTGCTACTTTCTTGCAGGACCTTGAATCTATCTTGGGCGACATCCTCAACACAACTCCTATTGCAGATGAGGAGGTGAGTTCTCCAAGCAAGGTATGCAATCATGCATGCTCCCTTTATTCAATGACAAAATGTCTCTTTTCGTAGTCTATTGTCATCTACACTATTGTCCCGACGGATCAGCAAATCCTAGCTACTATTGACGCGACACCAGCAAATCCTTCTAAAAGGCTACAATGATGGAAGAGATTTATGCCCTGCGATGGAATCATACGTGGGACATCGTAGATATTCCCCGGTGAAAGAAAGTAGTAGGATGCCAATGAATTTTTAGCATTAAGCTCAACTCTAATGGATTTTTTGAATGCAACAAAGCATGGTTGGTCGTTAAAGAGTACTAATAGACTTACAGGGTTGACTATGAGGAGACATTTGCTCCAGTGGCTAAGTTAAACACAATTCGGGTCTTGTTGTCTTTTGTGGTGAATCTGAATTACCCTTATTCGAGATCGATGTGGAGAATGCGTTCCTGTATATAGATTTCACAGAGGTGTACATGTTAATTCCTCCAGACTTTGAATCTACTGCCTCCCAAGAGTAAGTGTGTCGGTTGTAAAAGTCTTTCTATGGATTAAAGTAACCCCCACGATCATTGTTTGAGAAATTCACAAAGGTGGTATGGGACCATGATTTTACTTAGGTTCAATCGAATCACTCTCCTTTTACTGCATTCATTCAATGGCTTCATTTCTATCCTTATCATCTTTGTCAACAATATTGTGCTCACAGGTAATGACTACCAGCATTGGAGCCTTTGGAAGTCCTTTTAACTACTACATCCTTTGGAAGGATTTGAGATCTCTCCGGTATTTCTTGGGCATGGAAGTTGCTCGGCCATTTTAGGAGATATGTCTGTCTCAGCTTGTTAAAGGAGAACAATCTTTTTTTTTTTTTTGCAAATCGGTGATTATCCCGATTGACTCCCATGCATCTCAATGAAAAATCAGCATATGTGCCCAATATTGTTCCCGTGAGGAAGACTCTCTACCAACGCCTTGTCGAAAAACTCATCCTTGTCGAAAAACTCATCTTCATCGCCTATACACACCCTGAAATATTTCATGCAGTTGGTTTTGTAAGTCAATTCATGCATGTCCCCTATAAGAATCATCTCCAACATGTCCACCGGATTTTCCATTATTTAGAAGGCATACCAAACTCGATTTTAATTTTCTCGCGCCACAGCTCTCATTCTATGCTTTTTACGCTGATTGGGCCGAGTCTGTCCATGATCGGCGATCTACCACTGAGTATTGCTTATTTGTGTGGGAAAATCTTGTCAAATGGAAAAATGAAGCAGTGCTGAAGCTGAATGCCTCTTCATGTCCTTGGGGATCTGTGAAGCTCTCTGATTACGCATCATGTTCCGCGAACCTCGTATGCTGACCTTTTTCCTTACAATTGTTCTGTGACAATAAGGCCGCCATCAACATCACTCACAACTTAGTATAGCATGATCGTAGAAAACATATAGAGATTGACAGACACTTCATCAAGGAAAAACTCGTATGCGGGGAAATTTGCATTTCTTTTTTGACCTTCAGTGGTCAGCTAGCGGATATCCTACTAAGATGTTTTTCAGCAACTGTTCGATGACTTCAAATTCAAGTTAAACATGACTGACATCTATGCTTTAATTTGAGGGGGAGTATAAGAATTATGCAAAGATTTGTGTTAAATGTATGGATTTGTATTAATTTCGGCCTTGTTCCTTTCCTATATTTCTTTTTTCTATTTTTAATTTCCTTTCCTATTTATTTTTATTACTTTCCTTGTGAGAGTGTCTTTGTAATTGGGTATATATACCTAGGACTGTAAACGAGTCGAGTCTGAGCGAGCTCAGGCTGTGCTTGTGTTTAGCTCGTTCGAAATTTGCTCGTGAACAGTGTATTCGTGTTGGCTCGAAAAACTTATTCATGTCCGTGTTAGGCTCTTGTTTGACTCAAAATTGTCTTTTTAGAATATAAAATTATTATAATAATTAATTTATTGAATAAAATTAAATAATTTATTTTTTAAAGAACTGTTTGTATAAAAATTAATTAATTTATTTTATGAATATTTATTATGTATGTGTATATATATATATATATTCGAGCTGAACACGAGCGAACAAACTTTTGTTTGTGTTCGACTTGTTTACATTTTGAGCTTAAAAATTTGTTCGTGTTTGGCTTATTAGGCTTAACAAAGGAGCCAAACACGAGTTGCTTGCGAACTTTCATCACTGTAGTTTTACAAAGATTTTGTAGTCCATAAAAAAAATTCAAATAATTATTTACAAAATTTTCAAATAAAATACTTACAAAAAATTATAAAAAACATTTATTTATTAAAGGGTATGCAAACACTATCTTAACTAATTTAAATGCCTAAAATTATGTCAGTCATTATGCATTGCAATGTTTAATAGTAGAGTGAAATAAACCAATACATTTGACCAAATATCATAACAAGTTAAATGAGCATCGACTCACGCCATGCTCAATTTAAAATTTAACAAAATCTTCAATCATGATGATCTATACTTATAAAACATTCAGACAAAGTAGATTTTGCAAAGTGAGTTTAGTGGAGAAACAAGTCACACTAAGCAAAATGCACTTCACATAGGAAATAATAAAATGATATGATTACATCTAACATATGAAACAAATCGGTGTTATCATTCCTGAATATTGGATTAAAAAAATTATATTTCAAGGTTAATGTGTTTATTTTTCTTTTGCTCTTTGAGATTGGAGTGAGCAGAGAAATCGAGAGAGGCTTGCAGGATGTGGGGAGTTAACAAGAGAGGGAAGGGAGGGAGGGAGGTTTTCTTATAAAAAGAAATAATTTTTTAAGCACTTTGAAGCTCATTGCTCAGTTTTTAGAAATCCAAAAATTCAGAACTCACATTGATTAATTGAGACATGGGTATTGAAATATGGGTGAAAAACATCAGTTTTAATTCTTTTGTGGATGCCTAAGAATGAAACGGGTTTCAAGGTGTAGGTTTCATAAGTTTTTCAAAACAGTGAATAAGTTACAACTTCATCCTGATTTAGATTCCGCCTCCTTGTGATTCTTATAATTTGCCTGCCGGATGTTTGTTTCCTGCTGTGAGATTGAAATCAAAACAAGGTTTGGGCTATTTTGAATGAAGAACAGAAGAATTTTGATTAACTCAGCATGGATTCTGATTCAACTGCAACTAATAGGAATGGTTTTATGCCTTTACATTTTCATCAGAGTGTTACAGGTGTAACCCTGTCATATTCCTCTGAAATATATTTAATATTTATTTTTGCTTTGATATCGAGTTAATTTCAGAGCTAGTATTTTGTCCATTGATACCAGTGCTCAAAAGTCTCTCCAAAAACTGCAAATTGCAGAAATCTCTGATTTTTTGAGTTAAGGCCTTATTTTGTTGTAGATAGAAAACATGTTTTTCAAAAGGGTATTGAAATACATGTTTGAAAGACATGGGTATTGAAATATGGGGGAAAAACATCTGTTTTAATTCTTTTATCAATGCCTAAGAATGAAACGGGTTTCAAGCTGTAGGTTTCATAAGTTTTTCAAACAGTGAATAAGTTAAAACTTCATCCTGATTTAGATACCGCCTCCTTGTGATCCTTATAATTTGCCTGCCGGACAATGTTTGTTTCCTGCTGTGAGTTTGAAATCAAAATAAGGTTTGGGCTATTTTGAATGAAGAACAGAAGAATTTTGATTAACTCAGAATGGATTCTGATTCAACTGCAACTAATAGAAATGGGTTTATGCCTTTACATTTTCATCAGAGTGTTACAGGTGCAACCCTGTCATTTTCCTCTGAAACATATTTAATATTTATTTGTGCTAGAGACATTTGATAGTCGAGCTAATTTCAGAGCTTGTATATTGTCCATTGATACCAGTGCTCACAAGTCTCTCCAAAAACTGCAAATTGCAGAAATCTCTGATTTTTTGAGTTAAGGCCTTATTTTGTTGTAGATAGAAAACATGTCTTTCAAAAGGATCATATTGTTTTCCTTCACACCCAACTAAATGATAGAATCTACTAAATTGTCCTCCAAAACATGTTTTCTATCGTCAAGCAACAACTGTGCTCTGAGGGAGATTCAACATAAGTGTAGTTACTCCATTCTAATCGCCTTGAAACCATGTTTCTCTTGATATTGGAACTTAAGTGCGTCCATTTTGGTTGAACAGATTCTGTAGAAACCTTGATGGCTGAAACGCATGAACTTGATGGTTCTACAGTAGCTGTTGATCGTGCTACCCCAAAGGTATCTCTTGAATGTGTTTAATTTCTCCATTAGGTTATGATGACGCTTCTTTTTAATGTTCGTTGTCATAATTAAACTATTCTGCGCTTATAACCCTATTCAATTCAGGAGGAATATCCGAAATACCCCAGCAGAATGTCACAGGGTGGATATGGTGCTTATAATGCTTATATTAGTGCTGCAACTCGCTATGCAGCTCTCGGCGCTCCAACATTATATGACCATCCCAGTGCTTATGGAAGTAAGTGTTGCAGCAGTCTCTTCCTTTTTTTCTCTTTCTGCCTCAATTATGCAAATCTGCCAAAACATGCAAAAAGTTTAATTCATTCATATTTATTTGACAAATAATTTGTTTTGGTTATGTTTTGGGAGGGGGGATGCATGAAGTTCCCCGGGGAATGGGCAAAAAGATCTTTGTTGGCAGACTTCCTCAGGAGGCTAGTTCTGAAGATCTGCGCCAGTACTTTGGGAGATTTGGTCGTATCTTAGATGTTTATGTTCCGAAGGTAAGGAAATGTGAGTCTATAGGATAGTTTTATAAAATGCTTATTTATATGATTTTATACTACTGTTCAGGATCCGAAAAGATCTGGTCACAGAGGCTTTGGTTTTGTTACGTTCGCTGATGATGGTGTTGCTGATCGGGTTTCACGAAGAAATCATGAAATCCTTGGACAAGAGGTAAATGAAATTTGAGATTTCTCTACAAATGATAGATAATTTAGTATTTTTTGATGTGATTCTGTCAATTTATTATATTTTCTCACTTTCAATAGATTTTTTTCCCCAATATGTAAAAAATTTAACTTTTGGTAATTTTTCGCACTCTTAAGATTGAAGGTGGTTCTGCCCCGCAGCCTAATGATTTCTATTGAAATTGTTGATGTTTAAGTTCCAATTGTGCAAACTTTGCAGTTTTTGACGTTGGAATAACTATTGAGTTTGAATGAATAAAAATACTTACTAATCAGGAAATTTATTATACAATACTTAAATTGTGCTGCAAGGAGATGCGAATTTTTACAGCATATTTGATATGATTCAGAGAAATAGTGTATGCATCGGAATATGATAGAGTGCATATAAGTTACAATGGTATAATGTTTGGAAGACTGCGACCAAGCAATTAGCTTGAATCATAGACTCGAGTGTAGGGCTTGTTGTTAAGAAAGTTTAATGCTTTAATTTCTATTGTCAGCTTAAATTAAATTCATTATTAACCATTGATTTGTTGGCAGGTGGCAATAGACTCTGCAACTCCACTGGATGATGCTGATGCTGCAGGCGGTGGCTACATTGATCCAGCTGTGGCCTATGGCGGGGGTTTTGGCCCTGTACGCTCTTATGGCCGACTTTATGGAAGTCTGGATTTTGATGATGTAAGTACGCTAATTGCAGTTGGTCATTCTTTTTTTCTCCTTCTGTTATTAATTTTTATGAAAGTTTTTACTGTAATGAATGGAGGTGTGCATTTGGTTGGTTTGGATACGTTTGGATGATAAATTTGCTAATTTAATTGATTTTTGATGTCTAAACATTTGGATCAAACTTACCAAACAAAATGCATAATCGAATCAAACCGAACAACAATTTGATTATGTTAACCTCTGTTTGGTTTTAGTTAAACTGAAGTTAACTATATTGTGCAATTTATATAGATTGTGTATTTTCTTATTACATAATTGATAAGCAGTAACTATAATTAAAATTGTGTAATTAGAAAAGCAATTGGTTATTTTCATGGAGGTTTGAACGGAAACAAATAAGCACAACAAAAATATGAATTGCAAAATGGGTTTTAATTTATTACTACTTAATCAGGTTTTATGGAAAATTGTGATTCTCAAGCCAACAAAAAAATAAAAAACCAAATATTTCACTAATCAAATCTAATATTTGAAATGCTAATTTTAAAACCGAACCAAATTGTCCAAAAAGTTTGATTTGGTTTGATTTTTCGGTTATAATTAAATAATGTACATCCCTAGTAATAAGCATATGCTAATGAATCATGGAGGCTTGAAAAAAGGGGAAAAAAAAAACAGTTGAAACTAAATGCCTTCTATGTGACTATTTTCCCCCCTCTTTTGCAGTACGGCTATGGAGCAAGTGGCAGCAGCCGGTCTTCAAGGATGGATTGGAGGTACAGGCCATACTAAGCTATATGAGCGCCTTTTGCAATGACCTAAGCTTTCTTGTCTGTAATGGCGAACAATGACTACTCATGATGTAGCTGAAAATTACAATCACTATTAACTTCTCCATGATTTGGGTAGAACAATTACTATTACTGTTTCGATTTCGGATTAAGTTAAACTTTTATTTCCTTCTGATTGAGGGTTTTCTAATGTTATGAGGACCGGCAGTGCACTGGAAACATTAATCTGATCTAATTGGAAATCACAAAATTGATGCAAGGATGCTTGCATCTTCCCTGTAGCATTTGTTTGGTTATAACAGTCAGATTTGGTCATATTGCGTCCTCTGTGAATTGTGTCTCTCTGTTGGAGTTACTTTGGTAGTGTTTCTTCAATTTTACTTTTCAAAGAAAAAAAAATCGTGGAAAATAAAGTTCATTAATCCCCACACATGTATACAGACACTATCTACGAGTCTTGAGCTTATGAAATACACCCATGCGGTATGACATTTTATAGGAACAGTAGCTCGATTTATAGGAAGTTTTTGGGTGTGAAGTTATTTTAATTAGATCTATTAAAGTGTAGAGGAACATTTTTCATATAAGAAAGAGTTTATATTACCCTCAATAGTTTTCAAAAAAACTTTTTTTTGCAATGAATTTACACTCTTTCTACAAAAAAGTAGCTGCATCAAATGAATGTGCACAAAGTGAAAGCTCTTTTGTGATTTGGTTAATACTATATTAAAGGGGCTCAAAAATTGGCCCATACGATTTGGTTTGTCGTGATAGATTATCATATTAGCTGCATTCTATCATGGAAATCAGGATGTTAGGTGTTTGCGTGACCATTTTCTTTTTTTGTTAAGGGTTTCTTTGAGTAGTTATCTGTATGTTGTGTCAGCAATTCCGTTTGGGGGATAACTTTTACTAATTTCTAGAAATTTTATAGTGAAAAGTAACTCTCTTTTTTTGTCTCAAAATGACTTAAGAAGTAAGATAGCCACAAAAGAACTGTTTTTTTTTAATATATTTCTAATTATCACCACAATTTTCTAAGAAATTTTCTCATTGACAATTTTATAACTAATTTTTAAAAAGTTACAGTTATCCTATATGGAAAATTATTTCATACGGACACCGCATGCAGAAATGCATGCGGTGTCCGATCTCCACCATTTAAATATGTATTTTAGTGGGCTTCATTTTTTTTTTTTTTTGAAGGATCCATAAAAATACATATTAGCGGTGATGAGCGGTTGAATCGGATAATTTTTTCATCCTATAGAGAAATTTTCGTTAAAACATGGCAAAAGTTATTCTTTAATCTATCATATTATGGTATCATCATTTACACAAATAACATCATTAAAATCAAGGCAAGACAAAAGGTACAATCTAGAAAAAAGAGGCCATCTATTTAAAAGCCGAATAAGGACATAAATTTCTGGCCAATCAAGCCAAAGAGCCGATAGAGAAAATTCAGGGAAGCACTTAATGCAGCGGTTGTGGATGGGCACACCAAAATATTTTATCTCAAACTATGTTATTCCATGCTCTCTTAGAACCCAATAGAAGATGGAAAGAAATAACGGTCAAAACCGGCCATATAACCGACGCATGTGCCCTAACAACTTGAGATATCTAATTCGTACTAACATGGACCTCTAATAAATGCTATAACTCCCAATTCAGTGCATCCGCTCATTGTTTTCTCCGATCAGCTCTTGGATTTGTAGTGTAGTGAATTTGAGGAGGAGGAGAGGTAGTGTGAGAGGTATGGTGGGGCTTTTCGGTGAATAATATATTATGTTAAAGAAGACAGTGATGATAGGATTCAAATTTTAATAATCCCATCTTTTGATTTCTTATGCATTTACATATCAAACACCTAAATTTTGATATTTACACTTAACATCTTAATGTCATAAACTTATGTATGAAAAGTGTTACGCATGTAATTATGAATGTTTGAGAATTGCTTGATATGATCATTAAAACAAGATTGATATGTGGTTGTGTTTTTATTATGATATTAACAATAACTTAGACAAAGTAACTTTCTCCTCATTAACTTCACAATCATCTTTTAAGAAAATTGCAAGCGCCCTGAACCAATTCTTCGAGCAACAATTTGTACGTGCAAGATTGATGATTCAAAACTAGTAAAGCGAAAAATTTAGTATGTAAAATGGGAGTACTGAAAAATATTCAACAGCGCAAAATTTGGTTGACATTGACACAAGTTAAATGGTTTTGTCATTAAACAAAGGTTAAAAATATAAAAAAAGTGGAATTTGTGGACTTGTTTATAGAAATTTATAAGAAAATAATTCGGAAGGGATTAATTTCTTAGGGTAGATTAATAAAAACTGGGAAAATGTTGTAAATACAAATTTTCTGAGGTGTGGTATGAATTTGTGTTATTATGCATAATGATAATAAATCTGATAGAGTTATGTTGTCTCACATAATTTAATAGTTAAATTAATGAAGAAAATATACCAGACTTGTACGGTTACGAAGAAGTCAATGACACTTAAACTGAATAAGATAACAATAACATCGACTGCAAATTTTCACCAAGATTTAAGCCTTTTTACAGGTGGTAAAAAACAAAAAAAAAAACATTATTCTATTTATATTTGTTGTATAAATAATGCACCACTTGCATCATATATAGACATGTAATTTGTAATTTGCAGTCATAAATAATAGAAAAATGAGATGGAGGGAGTGAGAGGGGAGTAATGGGAGTAAATATTAAAGTGGTTGGAACATGAGACATGGATGAAGGACGGTACTGGAATACTATAAGGGTGTCAGTTTTGGTCTCTCTTCCATTAAAATGGAGCTCATTAATGGCGAGGAGAAGATTTGGTGGACCAATTAACAACCGCTCCCTCACTGCACATGCATCATCTTCATCTCCTGCTTTTGTTCATTCAGCACATGATTGCTTCAATGCATGGCAGAACATGAGCCCTTTGCTCTTTATTTTTTATGTTTTATGTTTGGAACATTTACTTACACACCCCACAATTCTTGTGTATTTGCATGTGTAACTCCCAAAGTTAGGCAGTTAGTATTGGTTAGTACTAGTGATAATTGGATGTAGATTGAGATAGCAGATTAAGACTGAAATATTTTTTAGTTATGATTAACAAATAGTAAATAAACTCATTTTTTAAAAGGATGTGGCAATGATTTTGTTTGGATAGAAGGAAGTAAAACAAAAAAAGTTAAACATTTTAAATGATTATGTGTTGGTTTAACAATAAACTTTGTTAAGCTAATCCTTTATGCTTAGCGGTGTTGTTTGGTTGGCAAAGAGAAAATATTACGTGCGGTGTCACCGCATGCGGACAATCGTCCGGATGGGTCACCTTCCAATGCACAATGGTCTCGTTGATGAATGCAAGCACATTCGGATAGAAATTAAACTAACTACTTTTCCAAAAGATATTCATGAAGTAATTAATGAAAAAAGAAATTATAGTTGCAAGAACAGCTTCCCAAATGCAAAGAAATATGTAAGTACAATAGGGTGTGAGCGGTGCAAATTATAAGAACTAGTCTCGAGATTAAATGTGCATTTGAGACAACTTGTGTTTATCCAGTTAACGGGGTTTGACTGAAATTCATTGTTTAGTGTAAAAAATCAACTGTGTTTTCAGATAAGTTGCTCAAATACAATTTTCGAACTGTGAGACGGAATTTTCAAAACTCTACAACAACAAGTAAGCTGCCCTAAATGTAGCCTAAATCTTCTTATCACTTGTGACTTGTAAGAGCCGTTCACATGCAGGCTGAGAAAGATATTAAAATAATAACTATTAGAACACCGCCGTGAGCTTTAATTAATTATTTTTCCATTTTTATTCATTCTAGTATGAGTGGTCAATTGAGAGAGAGAGAGAGAGAGAGAGAGAGAGAGAGAGAGAGAGAAAATTTATGTCAAGTCAAGTTGTATCATTTATTTGATTTTTTTGTTGGCCGTTTGCGAGCATGAGATTCTTTGAACCATAATATAATGAACAAAATTAGCTACATATATACATATTTAATATATATATAAAACAAAGATAATGCATGCTAATATATGTATTTTTTTAAGAAATTGACTTGATTATAAGGTAGAATATATCTGAATTATCTTGATAGAATGGCTGGTGTTTACAAAAAAAATTAAAAAAAATATTTAAAAAAAATATTTAAAGAATATATATATAACGTGAGGTGACATGTATGTCGGCGTCTATAAATCCCCATCTTATTATATTGTACAATTCTCATTAACATCACATGCATGTATCGAGATGTCAACAGGGTCCATCCAATTTATATCTATAATATATATATATATATATATATATATATATA